GGGTGTTCAAATATCACTCGTGCATTGGGTCAATTAAAGCAGAAGCAAATCCCTCAACCAGTGAAGCCTTATGACAGCTTTCAAATCACTATTATCAAGCAGGAAGGAATGAGAAGCCAGGTTCAGCACTATACTCCACTACTCTACTTCTTGATATATAAAGCAGAACAAATCAAGGATTATAAAAGAAGGAAACAGGCCTGAAAACAATAAAGACATTCAGTACTAATGACATTCTATTGTAGTGAATATTCAAATGAGAAAGGTAACATACCCTAGATGTTGTGTGGCCTCGAAAGTGATTACGTAGAACTTACGTCGAAGAAGGTTGGAATGTTCAGGAATCCAGAAAATATATCCACAAATGTGTGAAGGTGGTTAAGATTATCCAACTTATCAATAATCTGGTGTTTTCGAACGAGATTTCCAGAATAAATCCGCAAAATGCGTAAATTGAATATCACTATAAAAATGGAGGACTTCAATTTTTTCCAGTTTTTTTTTCCTGCACATCTGTGCAAGTTCTAGTTACCTTTTTCCCAAATCAATGATACCAAATATGGACGAAATTTCAATCATGGAGGAGAATTTCAATATAGACATAAATCAATCTGAATGGATGATGACAAGTATAGGTTATGTTTTGAAATTTTATTTATTTTGTAATAACTGCTACATTTCTAATGATCTAAGTGACTGAAGAGACCAAGTCTACTGCCAGAGATAGTGAGAGTAGGAAAGTTTGAGAAGAATTGAAATAAAATATAATATTTGATAATAATGATTACCTGTAAGGGCATGACCACATATAATATAGATTTGTTGACAATCCGATTCCTCTATTCATTTTCTCCTTCTTCCTTTTCTTTTTAGTCTAAAATTCTTAATATCTAGAAAGGTAAAATGAAACCGTAACAACCAACTAAGTGATATATGTGATGCTTTAAAGGATTTATCATAAAATGACATTCTTACAAAGATAAATGTTACAAGTAAAATGTGGCAAAGTGAAAACATGCACATGCCACATGCATGTGGCTATACAACACCTAGACGCATTCACAAATTGGCTCGATAATTATCGAAAAAATGGTTTTCAGTCATCCCTTGTAACAGCGAGAGAAATAGCCGAAGAAAATTATATTGACAGACAGTTCAACGAAGTCAGAAGACGGCGTAAAAAAAAGCATTTTGATTATGAAGGAGAAGATGAAGCTCAAGAATTGAATGAGGGAGAGAATTTCAAAATGAACTATTTTTATGTAATTGTCGACAATATGCGCGCAGCTGTCATGAACATGAATTGTACAAAGAACTAAGTATGTTTATTCACGTATATAAAGGGAACGACGACATTATCTCGGTGCTGAAATACATAATAGAAAAAAAGTTAACCGAAGTTTACCCGACTATCGAAATAGTCCTGAGAATTATTGCCACCTTACCTGTAACAGTTGCGTCTGCTGAAAGGAGTTTTTCGAAGCTTAAAATTATCAGAACATATTTGGGGAATTTGATGACACAAGAACGGCTTTCAGCCCTTGCTATTCTTTCATTCGAAAATGATGTAGCTCATTCGTTAGATTATTGTGCTTTAATTGAAGATTTCAGTCTTAGGAAAAGCCGCAAACATCAATTTCAATTTCTGTATATATTAATTTGGAAATATATCAAAATGAAAAATTTTAAAACTCAAATTTTATTTATTTGTATATCTATAGCATTTCTCGTCATTTAGTTAGACATGACAAATACCTAAACCAAACAATCAGACGGTTTGGTTCAAATCTATTTTCGCATCACATACTTTTCACGAGAGGCATAGGGCCTCGCAAAGACCTGCCGCCCAGAGCCTTGCAATGGGTAAGGCCGCCGCTGTCTATAGTAAAACCAATAATGATTGAGAGTAAAGCGCGTTGTCATATCTAAATTTTACGTTACCAGTTTATAGCAGAATTGTCTCCTGACTATANGGCAGAACTACTTCAGCTAACAAAATTACACACAGACAAATATAAAAAATTCGCAGTGGATGAAATGGCGTTAAGTCGTGGAATTACAGTTTTAAGGTTATCACCATACCACTGCGAATTAAACCCAATAGAATTAATCTGGGCGCAAGTAAAAGGATATGTGGCACGAGAAAATAGAACATTTGAATCAGTGGACGTGCAACATCATCTACGAGAAGCTGTTCGAACTGTTCGACTGTTGAAAGGTCGTTGATCAGAGAATGAGATTTTCAAAATCTCATTCTGTGATCGTTCCATGTGTCTAATTCAATACGGCTGGCTATCAGTGTGAGATCTTTTCCTTTGAGTTTACTTAATAAAGCTCTAAATATTATTTTTTTTATAAACTGAGGTTCATTGTTGTACTGTTGAAATGTTTCATCATATACAGCAATAAAATTATTTAGTTCACACGGATCTCCGTTAAATGTAGAAATAATATTGAAAAATAGTCTCAATTGCTGATAATTTGGTTCAGCCATGATATTATTATCAGAATTCAAGCTCAAAGACGACAAACTTTCACTCAAATTGGCTAAGTCTGAATTGGAATTATTTCGTAATGTTCTTATTTATTGTCTAGCGTCACTATTTATTTTTTCCAACTCTAAAATATTGTTTGAGAGTCTCACCCTTGCTTCTGGGTCTCTTCTTTTGTTTCTGTTTGTCTTTCAGCTTCTTCTCGAATATTTGGTTCAAGAGTCAGCCCCGTGCAACGCAAGAGAATATCAAGTCCTCTTCCCGATACACTGTGGTTTGGTCTTATAGCTTCCGTCGTAAATTTGGTAATCACCAGGCAGTAAGTTGCTTGCTGTCTATACCGACTGCGCCAATTACGTTGTGCTTCCAGCAGTCTGGAGTTCGTAGAAGCACCAGTAATGTTGAACTAGTTTTATAACTCTGACTAAGTGAACTTCACACAAATAAAAGTAATTCGGACCTCACTATGTGCTTTATCCAAATAGAAAGCTGGTCACAAACTGATTGTTTACAATAACAATTCATGTGCTTATATAGACACACTATGACATTGGTAAAGGTAAAAAGATAATTTACGGGAAAAGCTCTTTCTATGCAAGATAATTCCCAGGTAAAATTCATAATAATCAAAAGATAAAAGTCTTGGTTGAAATGCTTATGATATGTTATAAGTTGTAAACATCAAACAATGATTGTAAACAATTAAGAGATAAATTTCGGCAAGAATGCAATGTCAGCAGTTACCGGTTTTTATTTATAAATAAACAGGTAAGTCTAGGGTTGGCTCGGGAATAATGTAACTAACGGTCGGTGATTCCCGGAAATACTCGGAAATTGCAAAAATTTGTCAAAAATATTCATTTCATTTTCGAGTAATATGCATCGATCTGAATCGAAAAGTCAAGTAACATTTTTCGAAATTTTCATTCCTTCTGGCTGTAAAATGCGTTTGAATGTGTGATCTTTTTCGTTTTCGAAACTACATAAAATCTGACCCTCTCACGTTAGAGACGTGATCGAGGTGTCAAACGGAAGCTAATTGAAAACTCTATCAGTGCTTTTTTCGTATCTAAATACCTGAAAAAGCCATTTCCACGAAAATCGACTTTTCCCCTTTTTAAAATTAGCGAAAACTAATAAACTTGTGAAAGATTCTCCTTAACACATAGGAAATGATATCCCACATCTAAATTTCCATAAACTGAGCTGAAATATTATAGAAGAGCATAATTTCCAAGTTTCCAGTTGTGGTCTCAGAGTGGGCGGAGCTCGCACTGAGGCTCGAGAAACAAAACCAAACAGTATAAAACATACAGTAAATCTTCTGCCAAGTTATATGCAATGAGGCAAGAACTGCTTCACATAATTTTTTTGCATAATAAGAACAATGTTACTCTAACAGATTTCTTTGGTGTAATTACATACCAAGAAAACACGTTTACTCATTATCTTGTGGAAATATCAGACAGTCCATATAGGTTCCATGTCATGTGGAGATTTCTGGGAATAAGGCTTCTGATAACTCCGCTAAAAGTTGCGGTTTCGGAACCATCGGACAATAATATATCAATTTGAAGACATTAAAAAGTTCATGAAGCACGAGGTGAATACTGCATTGTAAAAGAATTTGGATACCTGTAACAAGCATTTGATTAATACGAAACCCATTATAGATAAATTGACGTAGAAATCTATTTCACAAAGAATCAGTACTAATTTATCGCATCAGACAACAGCTGATGTTGAGAGGGAAGGATCCTTTCGAAAATAAAGGAGATTTCAATGCATTGTCCAGAGTATGAAGAATATCAATATTTTTTGAAAAGATTTGAATGATAAATCTACATACAGATAGTCGACCATGGTAGTTTAAATTGATGGTTATATTTTAAATTTTCCAACATATCTGGTTGTTTATAAATGGATGGAAAATAAAATGTTCTAGAAAGGATTTTTTCAAAGATCTCAAAGATTACCTACAAAAAAAAAAAAGAATTCAGGATACATTTACGTCGATCTTCAGTTTGGGAAAAGTAGTAAATTGATAAAGTACCAAGTAAGAGCAAAACTGCGATGAAAAATATTACCAGAGGATCATTGTTGATTCAACTACTCGCCGAGAACATCTTTCCTGATTTTCCTTTATTCATATTCGAAGAAAAGTTTTTTAATGAATAAGAGCACAATTGAAAGCAAAACTGCAATGAAAAAAAATTACCAGAATATTATTGTTTATTCAACTACTAACCGAGCACCTATTAATTTTGGGTTATGAAATTTTGAATACATTTTTCATGAAAAAAACTCTTGTGGCGGGTTCTGTATATGCACCACATAATTCCCAGATGTCGTCACTTGTCTCCATTTTACCTCACTAGTACCGCTCTCCTGAAAGGCTGGGGAAAAAGGAAGATGTATATCATGATGACATATGAATTTTCGAGGAGAAATTTGGTGTTAGTCGTCATTTCGAATAATCAATTAATTTTAATTTCGTTTTTCTTTCAGAACCAAGGATGGATTCAAATACTAGCTTCAAACTGAAAAAAATTCTGGATAAATTACTGGAGCCCAATTTCAAACCACGAAATGAGACCCATCTAGACTCCTTAGTTGCGTTTTTGACAAAGGAAAACGGTGAGAAATATTTTTGAGTGTGACGTATGTTTGACCAGTTGACCGAGATTTAAATTTAACTTGAAAATATCATTTATATAATTAATGACTTTCTGTTTGGAATTCGCTCTTGAAAAAAATAGTTATTTATAGGGAGATTCACAATCGACCGCATATTGCATATTATTGATGATATTTTATTCACTATAGATAAAAGAAAACTCAACTGATGAAAAATGTATTCATAACCAAAATGGTTGAACAGGTCTAGCATAGTTTATCGCTGTAAAACCCTGTAAACGCTGCCTATACTCTGTCCAATGAAGTAAGCAACAGAGTGCTTGAAAACAGTATCACGCATAGTGCAAGTGCAAGAAACGACCAATTTTTTTTTCAGTAATATGCGGCTGGTTATTGGTAAAATTTAACGTGGAGTGTAGGGACACAAATTAGCAGTTTCTTCAGCTGTATCAGTACTTGACATTTTGAAAATTTCAAACTTCAAAATATTGTATATGTATACACCACAGGCGTTGAAACATAAATGTCCACTTCGACACTGTAACAATGAATTCCGCCAGCCGATTGCGGTTAAATCTGATTGGTCAGCGTAAGAAGGCTAGTTTATTATTTCACCCATAAATACCACTGTGCGTGGTGATCATGTTTTGATCACACATCGATCATTGTTTGGGTTGCTTTTTTTGTTGGATGGATATATTTTATCCCTCAACTGATTCATCGTTTTCATGCATCGAGTGAAATAATCATCTTCATACACTGCAGACAACGTTAAATTTTTTATTTTTGTTAACAACTTTACTTGGGTTAAATATTCGCAAACTAGGATTACTATTTATTTTCATCATCGAAGGTGATTATTCGACCTTCAAAAAAGCAGTATGTTCCAAGTCTAACGGGCATTCGAATTCAAAATCTTTTCCTTTTCTTTGTTTCAACATTGATTCGTTAGAACAGGCACATGTCCAGGAAGTTGATTCTTATACAGGGTGAGTCAACAAGATTCCCTTGGTACATTGCTATCAGAGGAAATAATTTTTCGAACTGCCATTTTCTTTTGCAGTTATATCTATAAATACTATATTTTAAAATTATTTTCTCGCATACTGGGTGATTCAGCTGACCGTAGCCAACCAAAGTTGAAACATTTCACTACATTTTCTATCAGGGATATACTATACGAAAAGCTGATATTTTACAAATTTTACCAAGTTTTAGTAATTGATGTAATCACAAACAAATGTATTTTCTTACTTTCAATCACTCAAATTTGTTTTTCAAATATTCTCGGAATTTGTTAATAACGACATGTTATTGACAAATTGGCGTGTAGATTAAATCATATTCATTATGAATTATGTTTTTTGGAAAAGAAAGTTTTTGGCTTTCTACTACTCCATCTTGATACAAAAAAAGATGAGGGAATCTTCCAAAGAAAGGAAGGAAGTAATCAATTTGCAAATAAGTAACTCTATACATGGATGTGTAGATCATGCAAAGAAGTAACTTTCAGACACAAACTGAAAGAAAGTCCTCATGAAACAGCTACGTTCATATAAACTTTGAATTCCACGAAAGAAAAAAAAATTATTTCGAAACAAATACTTCCATATGAATACTGAATTATACAGAAGATACTTTTCTCTGCTCAGTTTGTATTTCAGAAATTCGTTGTGGATTAAAATCAGATATCATTCACATGAGTTCTACTTTAAATGAATGTTAACAAATTGCACATACATGGAACACTGTCATCCTTACCGGTATACATCAATGTTTCGCTTCAAGACACTTGCCCCAAGGCTCTTCAGTACCAAATTGGATAACATTATAGAAAATACACACAATTCATTCATGAATTACGATTTTTTATGTCACGGAATGAGCTTGATCTGCTTAATGTCATCGATGACATCGTTATGACATTCATTCACCTATTTGTTTTAATCCCAGTCGAGAGGAATCTTATTTGAATTGAAGATGCCCTCATCTTTTTTTGTATCAAGATCGAGTAGTAGAAAGCCAAAAACTTTCTTTCCCAAAAATTAATCACTCCTAAAAATATAACCCATTCAATTCATTATTTGGAGCGAATGCTCCATGCTTTGGGGGAAAGTGACAAAACTACCTCCTGGCATCTAGGATTTACAAAGAGAAATTCCCCAAAAGAAGGCAACCAGGGAAGGGCATTTTAAGCTCTAAAAACAAGATATGAAAGAACTGATAATGTCAATCACGAGAAGTTCGAACGTGTCTGCCCTTTAACAAAAGAAGAGAATACATTTCAAATTGTTCTTCACCTTGTTGAAAATCCTCATGTGAGGATCAGACAGGTGTATAATCAGACTTTGATATAATGAAAAACTGGCTTGAAAATAAGCTATGAACCATAAATTTGGAGAAAACCCAGAATATGGCATTCAGCTGCAATAGCACGAACAAACCACCCATTTCCTGTAAAGACCTAGTTAATCAACACTTGATTCGTCCTAAAAATGAGGTGAAGTATTTAGGAGTAATTATTGATTCACATTCTAAATGGAATGAGCACATACTCTTCATTCGCAGAAAAATCACTTTTACAGCATCCATATACTTACCTGGCTCGAAAATTATTCAATACTTTTTCCAATACAATAAAAAACATTGATATATTCCACCACTTCAAAAAATCATTGAGGCAATTTATATGCAGACAGCCAAGACAAATGATTTCTGATTTTGTTGACAGAAACATTTTTATCAAAGGAATGTGTGAAAAAACAAAATTGTTATTACTTTACAATAGAACCATTTTACCTTATTTATTTATTATAATTTCTAACACACCGCTTATAACATTTGTGTCATTTAAATGTCATACACACAATCTTATACCACTCAAACGCATCAACCATTGTATTAATTTATGGTTACACATTTATACGCATGCGTGCGAATGATTTGTAAATATTCATTTTCAGATTTAGACAAGTTTGATACTCATTGGATTTTTTCATATTTCCGCCATCATCAGTCAGTATGTTCATTATTTATGAGTTTTATTGCATTGTATTTTCTCTAAACAAGTGTAAGAAACACTTATCGAGTACTCATTTATTCACCATTATCTTCTACAACATTGTTCTGTATTCTTCTTTCCTACGTGAATCAATATTATTATTATTACCTTCATTTATTGGAAGATTTGAAATCTTCCCAAGTAAGTGAAGGGGAGGGGGAGACATTTATTCAGGAAGAATTTGGAAAAGTATTTCAGGAAACAAAGGAGAAATTGAAAAAATTAGTAGCTGAGAAGCTTGAGGTTGAAAGGAAATTTGAAGAGGAGTTCGAAGAAGTCGGAGGGAAACTTGAAAAAGTCGACAAAAAATTGAAGGAGTCGACAAAAAGTTTGAAGAAGTTTTCCGGGAACTTCGGACGGAATCATCGGAACCGAAGAGGATTGCTGTGAAAAAATGCAAATTGGAAACATCATATCTCCTTTGTAGCAGTTGTTTTATTGAAACTCCAACTTTCCATAGCAAATCTTCATGTTCAATTCATCGCAGACAATTTGAGGCCGCTGCGGAAAATAATGGGTGGAAAAATTAACAGAAAGCAAGAGCTCCCATACTGACACTTCGAGAAAAGGCTTCGAGAATCTTGCAAAATATATCAGTGAATAAACAGAAGGATTATGAAGCAGTCGTATCAGCTTTGGAAATACGGTACGGTGGTGAGCACCAAAAAATCTACCAAGTTCAACTGAAGGTGAGACCTCAAGATCCATCAAAAAGTTTGCAAAAGTGTGGAGCTGCAGTCGAAAAGTTGGTGATACTCGTTTACTCAGAAGCACCTGATAAATTCACCCACTGGATTAGAATTCATAATATCATCGATAGGGTTTGTGACTAAGAGCTACAGTAGTCACTGAGGATGGCACGTCATAAAAAATTGAATGAAGCCATCATTTATGCCCTAGGATTTGAATCTGACAAAAATGCTTCGCAACAACAACGATGCAACTGCATTGAGATAAGAGAGTGGCCTAAATGTTATAACTGCGACAGAGAAGGACATTAAAGGCGGGACTGTCGATCTCGTTCAACACCCATCGAAAGAAAAGATTGGCGTTCGAGATCACCCGAACCAGAATGTCGGGGTTCGGAAAAATACATTCAGCGAGTGTTAGGGGGAGTACTTTTGCTGCTGCATCTGAAGCCCCCAGGTATTCGATCTCTACGGTAGGACGCAACAGTAACACCTTAGTTGTCTATGGATTTCTGAATAATCATCAGTACCCGTTCTGGAAACATCCACTGGAGATAGATTGACAGTCTATGTTGTATCTGAACTGGCTTGGAAACTGCGAAATAGAAACTGAGGTATTAGTGGCAAATATCGTCAATGAAATCGTTTTGGGACTAGGTATCATGTCCTTCTACGGATTCGTGGAGGACATAAGGGACAAACTGTTGAAAATCGAAAATGAGAAAATTCTGCTCGACGTGCCTTCTCAGCCTTATGAGAGCGCAAAAGTGGTTATACTGGAAGATTTCAGAATCTCTCCCAACGCCTACCAAATCATTCGTGCTGAAATTTCTGAAACTGGCGGCTCAGGTACAACATTAGTATAGTCATTAAAATCATCGACTATTTCAAAAAGACGTGGAGCCATTTGTCTGAATAAGAACTATGTAAGACCAGTCGATTCGTAGAGGACGAGAACGATTTATTTGTGAAAGCCAAAATCATTGGTCGAATGGATTTACTTCAACATCGAATCGATACTGGTGATGCCAAGCGCATACGCCGACCAACGAGTCGACTTTTCTTCGCAAAGCAAGACGAAGCTGCATCTATTGTTGAAGTCGTGTTGGAGGAAGTAGTAATCAAGAAATCCAAACAGCCCCTGGTCGTCACCTGTTGTGTTGATGACTAAGAAAGATGGATCGACGAGATTTTGCGTAGACTACAGAAGGCTTGACGTTGAGCCCACCAAAAAGGATGGTTACCCTTTC